CTATAGTGACAGACCGGCCCTTGCTCCTGCCTTGGCCGGGGGCTGTGGGCCGGAGCCCTGTTCCCACACAGGCTGTCCCGGCCGCCAAGGCAGTGCACCACCACCCGCCCCCACAGTGGCAGGCGGAGAAGCATTCTTAGCATTCTTCCCAGAGAAAAGGGGTGAAACGTCTGAATTTGGGGGTCACCATGTTATACAAATTGCAATCTAATCGTTTTTTTACAAGAATACACTTGCAGTAAGAAAAGCAGCTCAGAGGAGGGGCTGAGGAGACGGCTTGTTTTGTCCCCCTTAACCCCAAAGTTTGGGGCTATTGTCGGCCAGTCTCTGTCTCCCCACAACAGTTGAGCTAGAGTTTTCTAGTTAAATTGGTCCTGGGTGGGGGCCACAAAGGGCCCGAGGAGCCATTTCTGTTTGTTTTCCCAAATCAAAACCCCAGCAGGGCTCCGAGGGCACCACTGGCCGCCACTGGAAGAGCCCAGCCGTTTCCCAGAGCGCCGTGTGTCAGCTTAAGCGCTGAACTTAGCCTCACGCACTGCACAGCAGAGCTTCATGAGTGCTGGGCCAGAGGCCAGGGAAATTGTATCTTTTTATTGGCCCATTTAAAGTGTGTGTGGCCACTGCAGAGAGTCAGAGACAGTGCTGCAGAAAGAAAATTGCGACCCTTGGCCGGGCTGGGCTGGCAGTTGAGGGCCTTCGGGGCACGCCCTGGCCCCAGGGTTGGTGCTCGCTCATGCCTTCTGGACCCCCTCGAAAGGAGAGGCCAGTGTTTCTCACTGCAGACGTCACAGCGGGACACCTTCCAGCGGTGACGCAGACTCTGGGGCACAGGTCCAGGTTGGCCACTTGGTCTGGGTGTGGCCCTTATGCTGCTGACCCTGCCGAGCCAGGATGCCCAGCTCTCCTTCCCCCCAAACCCCGGGACCAGGGTGGGCAGGTACAGCCATGCTGGGCTTCACGCCCCCAGTCCCACTGCCTTTCATCTTCTATTTCAAACAGACAAACATGAAATTACTTCTATAGATTAAAGGGGAGAGCTCCTCAGTCATTCCTGCCTCACTAATGGAGGGGCAGGGCCCCTCCATTATGGAAGGAGAGGGGGAACTGTGGAGTGAACAGCCCTACCTGATGCACACAAATGTGCACGTGGACCCGTGAGGGACAGGAAGAGAGAGACCGGCTGCTTCCAGGGCTCTGGCCTGCCCAGCGTGGGTGAATCGTGGCCGGTGGCCCATCGGGCAAGGCAGGGCTTCCTGGGAGCCCAGGTCAGTGATCTCGAGGAGATGCGGACCTGGACACAGGGCTTTCTGCTTGATCCTCCTCAGGACTCACCCAGTGTCGCCCTTCCCCCCATGGGTTTGTCATGTTCCACCCCAAGAGGAAGAAGAGCTCTTCCCTGGAAGGGCGGCTGGGGTGCGGGTGCTGCCTTAGGGCCTGACCCCCGCCGGACAGCAGCAGTGCTCCTTGCTGGGGGTCACCTCACTGTCCAGGGCTCAAGGGGAAAGGCTGAGTGGGCAGGAAGGAACCGCAGCCACCTCCTTTCCTCCTTTAGTCTTCAGGGGAGATAGCATCCTGCTGGGGAGAAGGGGTGCTGAGGGTCAGCATGTGTATGAGGTGGAAGGACTGGTGCTGAGGGCCACATTCACACACGTGACTGGCAGCCTCATCTGCTTTAAGCCCTTTAGTAGCCACTGTGTGGGCCAAACCTGGGCAGTGTGACCATGAAGTCCTCCCCACTCCATGCCCCGGCCTCTTACCTGTGTGTCCCTGTGAAGTGTCCAAGGCCTTGTTTCTCTAGTCTTGTCCTGGAGGAGAGCCCAGCATCTCTGGGTGAAGCTGGAGAATGGGGCCTGGTGGGCGCCCCTCTTCTCCTTCACTCCCCCAGCCATTCTGCAGACTCACTGCTTCCACCCACCCCTTAGGCACAGGGATTAGCAGGTGCACTTGATGTTGAGGGGTAGTTGCTAGGGCCAGGGGGCCCCCCTACATGGTTGCTAGGGGTCTGGCATTGGGCGAGGGGTCTGCCCACTGCCGCGGTCACGGAGGGAATTACACAGTCACAAAGAAATTGTTCTTCTCAGTAATCTGCTCTCGGCCACCGGGAGGGGTGAGGGTGGGGGAGCAGGCTGGAGCCCAGCAGGCTGGGGGCTGTGATCACAGAGGCGTGCTCGCCCCGGGCTGGGGGCCAGCCTGGCCGGGAACACCAGGGACTAGCCTGCTAAGCTGCTTTCTCAGCGACTTCGCTCCCCAGACACAAAGGTGTTTACTTGTTTTAACATCTCCTGGGACTCCCCTTCTCCCTTTGTGTGGTCTTTATCCCCACTGAGGTTTGAGCCCCAGATTACAGGCGGGAATTAAGGCATTGGACTCAGGCAGCTCAGAACGGCATGACCTGTAGATCAAGGAGTATAAAGTAACCAAATCTGTGTGCGTGTGTGTGTGTGTGTGTGTGCGCGCACACGCGCTCGACCCCTTCAAGGTCCATTCATTGTCCCGAGGAGGAGAGGCTGGGTGGTGGGTGGCCAGCATGCAGGTGTGATGGAGGTGTTTGGTTACGGAGAGGGGCTGGGGCATCTCCCCTCTGGATGCCCCCTTCTAAGGGAGTCTAATTGTAGCTCCGGAGGAGAGCTGCATTTCCTCAGGGACAGATGCTATTTAGAGGTTCAAAGAGTCTGTTTGGGCCAAGGTGGGACAGTGGCTCATCCTCTGGCACTCCTCTCCCCACAGTGGGCAGCTGATGACGCATCTGGGTAGTGACTTCCCCCCAGGGGCTGGGGTGCTGGACCTCATGTACGAGTCCCCTTCCACACTGCTGTCCTGTGGCTACGACACCTATGTTCGATACTGGGACCTCCGAGCCAGCGTCAGGTGAGTGTGCCGGGCAGGACAGGTGGTGGGAACCGCAGGAGGAGAAGGTGCAGAAACTCCACGTCAGGGAGCAGCCAGCAGGGTCAGCTCAAGCTTACACTCCTCACCTTGGGTAGCCCTGGCCTTGGGGCCTGGGAGACAGTAGCCACCAGGCCCTGATCGGAGCCCTGGGAGCTGTCAGGGTGCCGTCCAGTCCCTCAGCAGTCTGTCCCAGCCTTTCTCCAGACCTGTCTCCTCCCTGAGGCCTTATCAATCCTGTGAGGTAGTCAGCTGGGTGAAACACAAATGGGGGCCTAATCTACCCTGGGGGCTGGGGCTTGATGAGGAAGAGGCCTTTACTGAGGAGGCTTTTCCCCAGGAAGGCTGGTTTTGAGAGAATGTGGTGATTCAGCCTCTCCCCTCCCAGCCAGAATGGGAGGTGGGGGGTAGAGGTGGAGGGTACCCTGAAGCCCCCAGCATCTCCTCTTCCTGGACAGGAAGTGTGTCATGGAGTGGGAGGAGCCCCACGACAGCACCCTGTACTGCTTGCAGACAGATGGGAACCACTTGCTGGCCACAGGTTCCTCCTACTACGGCGTTGTGCGACTGTGGGACCGGCGCCAAAGGGCCTGCCTGCATGTAAGCATCCCGCCTTCCTCACACCTCCCAGAAACCAGGACTCATTTTTACTGGCTGCACCTGAGAGTGGGTGTGCCCAGAGACGTGGGCGGGAGCCTACACTGGCACTGGGCCCATTGCACTGGGCCTGGGAATCCTGGTTTCGAGCTCCCCCATCCCCCACTTGGGCCACTCCTACCCTCCTTGTGCCCTCCCTTGCAGGCCTTCCCGCTGACGTCAACACCCCAGAGCAGTCCTGTGTACTGCCTGCGCTTCACCACCAAGCATCTCTATGCTGCACTGGCTTATAACCTCCACGTCCTGGACTTTCAAAACCCATGACAGTCAGGGCCACCCAGCCCATGGGCCAGGAAAGCCAGCTACTCAGGGACCTATCCTGCTTGGAGGGTGCAGTGATAACTCCTTCCGACCCCCCGTGCCTGTGCTGCCAGATCTGCAACCACAGTGCTCGGGCCCTTAAGGCTAAAGGCTGCTGACCTCCGGGGAGCTGGGGTTACCCAGGGGCACGGTACCTCCCAGGAACCAGTTGGAAAGAAGGGACCCACTGTTCTGGGACAGTGAAGCTGAACCCACTGGGCCTTGCTCTCCTGTTGGCCAGAGCAAGGATCTAGCCTGGAGAGGTATGCCCTGTACCCAGGATAGCTTTGAGTGAGGGGGTGCTCCAGCCTTTCCTGTGGTCCTTTCCCTGGAAGGAGGAGTGAGGCCGCCAATACCCCTGCTGGCACTAGCACCCCCTTCCTCAGTCAGACCCCATCCTGGATCAAGCTTTTGGGACTCAAGACTCATTCCTGGGGCACTGTGGCCTGGTCTCCCTTTGCAAGCAAGAAAGGACAAAGGGAACCCAGCAGCTTTGAGTTCTAAGCCATCCCAGCCTCAGGCCTTGCTACAATGTTCATTTTTGTAAAAATAAAGCTTAACTGTTCACAGATCTGGCTCTTCACTGGCTGGGAACTCCTGGGAGACCCCAAGGAAAGGGAACAACAAAGGTTTCTTTTTTCTTCAGGAAAGCCCCTCCTTGACCATCTATCCTTTTGGCCCTGGTGGTGGGACGGGTGTCACCTGGAGGGTACGGAGAGGGGACCACCAGTGGCTAGGCTGCTGTCCATCTGCGGTGCGCCTTCCTCACCCCAACCCAGCGTGCACACACTCTTCACAAGGCTGCCTGCAGTGCTACCCTGGCTCTCCACCCACAGTGTCTTTGCCTCCTGGGCTCTGTGTGCGAGGCTTCTGCATTTTTAAATAAAAGCTTCTCCCTTACCCACTCTTACCTTAGGGAGTTCCTCTGGGCCACGTCTGCAAGCCTAGTTGTCTTCTGAGTTCATGCAAACAGGTTGGGGAAGATGCTAGCCCTCCCCAGCTTGGGTCAGGGTTCCCCCACCCACTTTGCCATCTAAGGTGCATACCTCCCTTTATAGGGAAGGCTTTATGTGGAAGGTCCCTGGGATGGGAGAAGGGAATGCCACTGCCAGCACCCTCCCCGGGGACAGAAGCACACAGAACTGGACAACAGGGCAGTGACTGAGAATGACTTTACTCAGGAGAAGGCATGACTGGAGCCAGGAGTGCCCTGTGGTCCAGCTTTTGCAGAGCCTGGATGAGAAGAGGCCACCCCTGTGTAGGAAAGGCCCAGGCTGCAAAGTCTCGCCTGCTGATGGAAAGAGCCTCCCCCACTTCACACCAGAGGTGCAGGCTCAGGGGTCCGTTACTGTGTCTTACAGTCCCCATCACCGCTGTGGGCCATCTTTACCTTCTTCAGCATCTCCTGCAGCTCCGCCTCGGCCGCCAGGACCTCCTTTGGCTTCTGGTACTGTAGATGGAGCCAGGACGAGGACACAATTCAGTCACTTCTCCCCATTCTCTCTCTCTCTCTCTCTCACACACATACACACATACACACACACACACACACGCTCAGGCCCCTTCTGATCCCTTTATTAAAAAATGAGGAAATTGAAGCCTATAGGGTTAAATGATTTTCTCAAGGTCACAAGCCTGGGTAGGAACGGGCCTTACACCAGAACCCTAGTTCCTCAATTTCCACCCCTAACCCTCACCCTCTATCCTCTTCTAGCTCTGAGCTCCACCCTGCTCTCCCCAGCTGAAGTAGTGATGCCTGTTCTGTAGCAAGTACACTGCAGGAATTAGGGCTAGAACTAGGGACTCATGGACTGACAAGTGGGCAGGGGAAGAGGGAGCCATTCCCTGATGCAGTGGCCTGGGTGACTCTTACAGAGATGATCAGGGTGCAGTTGGCATAAGCAAAGCTCAGCAAAGAATCGTCCAGCGGCAGCTGGTGTCTGTCCAGGTCAGGAACAGAGAACTTCTTGTAGTACCTGTGGGGACATCAAGGGGCCACTGGGACCTCCAATGAGGCTACCCCAACTTTGGGGCATTGAGCCTTGTGCTGCCAAGCTTCCACATGGTCCTCTCACACCTGTCAGAGAGGAAGAGTGGAAGCCAGTTTGAACACTGGAGCTTAGGGGCCCTGCCACAATGAAAGGCCTCTGGCCAGTCCGGAGGTGAAAAAGCAGAACTGGTCATGATTCCTTGACCAACCTGGGGTTGGAGGGACTCACACTGCAGGCTGAGGATGACCAAAGACGTGGAGAGGAGACACGGGATATGCAGAGCACACAGGCAGGCCAGACCTCTGCACCCCAGGAAAACAGGACATGTGCACAAACAAGGGACAGAATAAGGGCTGTCCCCCAAAGGTGGGGATCGACAGTTGCTATATACATAGATTTCCACTGCAGACCTCAACTACCTTTTCCTCTGCTGGGGTCTCGCAAGGCCTCATTGGCTTGTGGGCCAGGGAAGTACATCCACAGGAGAAAGCTGCCAGAGGGGACAACCATGTGACTCATCGAGGAGGCCGGACTGCTCTGTCGGCCCTGAGACAGCACTCCTCTCTCACACCCCACACACCACGGCCATCTGCAGGCACCAGTCCAGAGATCAGCGATCACTTTTAGCAAACAAACAAACAACACAAAAACCAAGGTAGCAACACCAAGTCCACAATGTGTGCAACTGGAATTCATTTTGCAGGAAATCTGACCTCCTTTACCAAAGAGGAAGAAGCCTGGGCTTTGAGAAGTGAGCCGTCTTGCCTGGTTTCAAAGCCGACTGACAGTGGAGTCAGGACTGAAATTCCCTGCTCCTGGGCTGCTGCTCATCACTCCAGAGCACAAAGAATGGCCCACTCGTCTGCAGCAGTTGGCCCATTTGGCACGTTCCCTGGTGGAGGTGCAGCGAGACTGTCAATGGCTGCCAGACCTGTCACCCGGGCACCGCTGCTGCCGAGGATGTGTGGGTTGGGAAGGGAAATGCTGCAGGCAGGTACAAACAAACTCAAGTGAGGGGCCTGGAGAGGATGGGGCTTTTAATACTTCAGAGGAGCCTGGTCCTTGTGGTGACAGCTACCTCGAGTCCACTTCAAAAGCCCTGATGCCCTGGGGACTCAGAGAGCTGACATCAATGCGGTACTCTGGCCCTGCTCTCCCTGCCCAAATCCCTCAGTTCAGCAGAGGCTCTCCTCCCAGGTTCCCCACTCCCCGCCAAGGTGCGGGACCATGGCAGGAAAAGAATGTTTACTTAAAGGCTGACAGTTCAAAAGGAGTGGGGGCTGGGAGGCCCTAATGGCACCACGGGTTTGCTTTATTTTCCAAAGCTCTGCCCCAGGGAAAGGCGATCCATCTGCCTGAACACCGGGTGGAATGCCGGCTTCATCCTCTTCCTCACCAGCCCAGGCTGAGGCCTTTTCCTGGGGCCCTTGGTCTGACCAGCAAAGGTGGCAGACACTGATAATGGGGGGTGTCAAAGGTTAAACAGAAAAGATTAGATGAACACAAAGGCTTGTTAGGAAGTGTTAACATCTTCCTTGCAAATATATACAAGGAGCTGACCTGGGAGAGACGTGGCCCAGGCACTTGCAGTCCAGGCACTTGCAGCCCAGCCAAACCCCAGGGGCCTGTGTAAAGGCCTTGCCCTGCATGGGGGCATCCTTTCTATTGGCCTGGCCTGTGTGACACACCTGTGCGCCCCCAGGGGGGCACTCTCAAGCCACATGCCTCAGGCTGGGGCAGTGGGACTAGAAGAATAATTCTGGAGCTTGGCCTCAACGGCAATGGCAGCAACAACCTCAAAGAGAACTTGAGATGTGTGGCTCGCCCCCTTCTCTTTCCTACACCACCTCCTCTCACGAGGCTAGGGGAACGGAAGCAATGCGTCTGGAGACTCAGCTTTGTTCTGAGTCTGTTCTAATGGGTTTACTTTATTGGTCAAGGTTAAACAATTTTCCTCAGAAGCTCCTAACAAGGCAGTGTTCAAGAGAGTCCCACAGGGGCATCCCTTCCCAGGGGGCTGCCCTGGGGTTTGCCTTGAGAGGAGCTGCACTTGACTTTCTCGCCAGCACCTGGACTAGAGACAGACAGGCAGCCCTAGGAAGGCAACAAGCATTTCCTAGGCATCGACTGTGTCCCAGGCCTTGAGCTGTGAGCCTCGGGATTTAAGGACAAAGAAGCAGCAAGGCCGTATCTCTGCCTCGGGAGACCATGCTGTGTTTCTGCTAAAAGTTAAACTCTTAAAGCGGGTGGTCCCTGGGCTCTCTGCAGACACCCCAACACACCCCCACTTCTATCCCCCTTCACTGTTCCAAGTCTCAGTCACACAGTGAGAGGTGACATTTATTAACATGTACTCTGTGCCAGGCACAGTTCTATACACACTGAATCCTCAAAACAACCCTCTCAGGTCGGTTACTTCTATTATCTCCTTTTACAGAAGAGGAAACTGAGGCACAGAAAAGTTAGGCATCTTGTCCAAGTCACAGAAGTGGTACACAGAAATGCTCTAATAGCGAATGGTAACTCCCAAGTTTCCTGACCCTCCCGTTGCCTGCAGCCCCACTTCTACGTAACAGACACTGGTCTAAACTCCCTGCGTCTGCCCAAGGACAGGGCGGATACGGGAGGCCCCCCCCCCCCGGGACCCAGCCACCCTACTGGTCCCCGCAGCGCTCTAACACATGGTGGTCTTTCCGAACCTCAAAAGCATTCAAAAGACGCATGAGGAAGCAAAGGTTCTCAGAAGGACTCCTGGCCCTGCCCTGTGACCCTGGGAAGACCCTTTCGCATGTGGGCCTCAGTTTCCTCCTCAAATAAAGGAAATATCTTAGATAAACTTCAAGTCTGCTGGCCCATCGGGTCAGAATAGGCCAACCTTCTTCGACGGGTGCCAAAAGGACAGCTCCTTCTTTTTGGCCACTTCAGAAATGACCTGCCAGCCCTGGCTAGTGGCTCAGCTCGTTGGAGCATTGCCCACACACCGGAAGGCTGTGGGTTCCATCTCCGGTCAGGGTGTACACTGGGCTGCAGGTTCAATCCCCAGTCAGAATGCACATGGGAGGCAACTGATCGGTGTTTCTCCTTCTCTGTCTCTGTCTCTCTCCCTTCCCCTCTCTCTAAAACTCAACAAACATGCCCTCAAGTGAGGACTATTAAAAGTAGAGGACGAAATGGCCGACCACACCCCGTCGCCCCTCCCACTGTACTGCCTTCACAACCCCCAGCCCTTTCCCAACCCATTTTCCCTTCAGTGGGCACAGTGAGCTGGGAAAATGAGCCAGGTCTTCAGGGAGAGACACTGGGGGACGGGCCGCTGGAGACAGTCACACGGCCACGCCGCATACACCTCCGGGGGCGTCCAGTGCACTGCACATGGGTGGGCCAGAGAAGTGCAGAGAAGCCTTCAGCCAGTCCAGCCCTGAGCAAATCTTCCTTCTTTCTCAAACACCAAGGCCCGGGCACACTGCCTGTCCCAGCCTGTGGAAGTGGCCTGGAGAGTCACGTGCACACTCACATACTGAAGGCTCTCAGGATCCCTACCAAAGGAAAACTTGTTCAACCCAGAGTTTCTTCAACTTATCTCAGCATAGAATCCTTTTTTCTTGCAATGTCTATTAACACCTCCTGTAGTGTTAGTATCACTGATGCCAAATCAGCCAAGCTCCCTTCATACTACAATCTCCAAGGAACTGCTGAGGGCCTGCTTGTGGCCGGCCACGGTGCTGGGCTTTGGTGCAGACGTGACGCCATCAAACTCCCCAACCTGTGAGAAAGGTAGGGGTGTTCTCCTGTGACAGACGGGGAAACCCTGCATAAAAAACAATGACTAATGCGTGCCAAGGGCCGTACTGAAGCTGCCATCTTCCCACTCCAGCGCCTGGCTCATTCCACTTACCGCTGCCGGCTTCTAGGCTGACACTAAGAACCTTCTTTTTGCACAAACCCTCTTAACAGGGACAGATGGTGCCACACTGGGATCCTGGAAAAGCACGTTCTTCCTTCCCTCACTAATACCTGGGGCCAAGGACGTGATACACTGGATTCAATTCCTTCAAGAACAGTAGCCAGCCCGGCCCTGGCCGGGTAGCTCAGTTGGTCACAGCGTCATCCCGATGTGTCAAGGTTGTGAGTTCAATCCTCCATCAGGGAACGTACAAGGATGGACCAATGAGTGCAGGAGTAAGTGGAAGGACAAGTCACTGTCTCTCTCTCTCCCTCCCCTGTCTCCACCCTTCCTCTCTCTAAAATTAATACATAAAAAAATTTTAAAAAGAAAAACGTAGCCAGCCCAGTTCTCCAGGGTCAAGGCAGGTCTGGACAAAGGAAATGCAGCTTTCATAGTAACCGCATTGCAGAACATTAGAACTGGGGCAGGCGTGGAACCCTGAGGTGAACGAAGAAGGCAAATCAGAGAGAGAGGCTGTGGCACCGTGGAAACTGCAGGTGCCCAGGCCTCAAGACCACTACCGACTTTACCTTTGGCAAGGCAGTCCATCATGCTGACTGTATGACACACTCTGAATGATGCTAACATAACACAGAGTGAAAACAGGTGCCCTGCCCACCTCCAGACGGCGTGATAATCAGAAAACAGATTTTAAAAGTATTCTGAGAAAGTTAAACATTGCTCAGAGGAAAGGCCATTCAGTTCTGTTTAATTAGTGGTAGTAAAGGTATAGAGCACATTACTACTCCAGGTAGAAGATGAAAGTGCCCCTAAACTCAGGACTAAGGGTGTAGTGACCCCTCTCACCTACCTTCCGGCGGAGGGACCTGAGGAAGGCTGGCCTGAGCCAGGCTGGGCTGAGCCAGGCTGGGCCACTGGACCAGCTTCGTAGTGCCGGTTCCAAAGTGGGCACCAACAAACTCCTCTCCCCTCCGGTCTCTGCGCCTGTCCCCTCTGGAGGCTCTACTCCTACCCCACCTGGCCTTACCCATCAGTTCAAAAATGTACCCTCAGCTCCTTGGGCACGGGCCTCCAGCCACAGAGCTCCTGGCCAACAGCGCCACCTATGGCTGAATACGCGCAGGAGATGGGACCCAGAGGATCTGCCCTCAGATGAATTTTTTGGTGAGCTAGCTTGCTTCTCTTCTCTCACTCCCTGGTAATCACATTTCTGCCTGATATCTGTATTCGACAGTGACCTCTGGGGGACAAAAGGGAGGCAGCAGCCAGCTCCACAAACTGCTGGGCTGCAGATTCAAGTGCTATCAGAAGCAGTTTTGTTCCCAGTTTGGACCCAAGGCTTCTTACGCCAGGGAATGCTTGCTGAAGTACGGAGTTTGTTTTCCTAAAGGCAATTTCTCAGTTGTCTGAAATTGCTAAATCCCACTTTAGGCACTGACTCCTGTTAATGATGAGAACAATAACAGGAATAAAGTGCCTTTTTTCTGAGGGCTTCAAAGTGCTTTATAAACGCAAACCCTTATTACTATGACTTTATATTTATGGACAAGGCCCACTGCAGGGGCTACTGGCTGGCTGCATGTACAGCAATAATCCTGAAATTAATTCATTCATCTTCATCCCTTCCCAGTCTCCTTAACCCTGCCAAAGTGATTGGGGTGGGGGGGAGGAATCCTAAGAAGTGGGCAGGACCCAGGGCTGAGCTGGGGGAGCCTGGGAACCACGCTGCTTCCCTGTGGGCCTTGTGGACCTGAGGGACAGGGGCAGGGGGCTGGCACCACACCATTTGAGAAGATGGATGAAGAGCTGGGTCTTCCTTAATGCATGGAAACCAGTATGGTTAGCTAAATTAAGCTGAGCACCCCAAGAGGCATGTTGGGTGGCTTCAAAGCCTGTGGGCCAGTAACTCATAAAACCTTCCACTTCGATGCTCCAAATCTATGTCTCGGGAGTTGGCCCCACACAGCAGTCCCCGGCCCACTATGAGACTGGCTAACGACAGTGCTCTTCCTTCTGTGATCAGAGCTCCAGAAACCCGAACAGAATCAATACATTTCCAAGACTGTCAGCCCAGCAGCAGCTCTGCCAGGATCAAATGTCCACCTCGGCCACCTCTGTCCCCTCAACACTACATGTTGCCCTCCTCTAGCAGACCACAAGGAAAAGAGCAAAGGGAAGTTGAGTACCCCTTTTGAAATATAATGTGAGAGACTTTCAAGAGGCCCAAACACCTGCCCGCTGTCCCTTCAGTCCAGGGAGCGGTCAGGTTTGCTGCTCCTAGGCCAACACTTCAAAGTCCTGTAACTGCCACTTCAGAGAGGTGTGCCTCCCGGCCCCCAGCTCCCTTCCAGGCCAGCTCTGACAGTGATATCATCAGGCCAAGTTCACTATGGGCTGGGTCCAGCCAGAGGTCAAGGTCACAATGACCTTATAACAGAAGCATCTAAGATCCCTCATCCTATTGAGCCCTAGTAGATACCAGGTATTGGACCAGAAGCTTGCTCAAATTTTCTTGCCCAAATGAAGCTGATCACATGACCATTGCTGGTCCTGCAGGGAGGAAGCCCTTCAGTGTTCACTGCCTTCTGTGGTTTTAGAGCAGCCCTCCTTCCTTCCTCCCTCAGAGCTGGAAGAGGAGGCTTCTCTGCCCCAGCACCCCCCCCCCGCACCCCCCACCCGCGGTAAGGAGCCCTCTGAGCACTATGCCAGGTCAACCCCACCCACATCCTGCTGACGTACAGGCAGGCTGCTGCTGACCACGCTACTTACTTTTTGTTGGTTGTTCTGATGATGACACAACGCTCCTTTCGGTCCACAGAGACACTATAAACATCTTTAGGGTAGGGGAGGTTTCGAATCCGCCACTGGAAACACACCTTGGTGTCCTTGCGCATGAAGATGGGCTGCAGAAGGCAAATCCAGCTCCAGGACTGTCCTTGGGGAGGGGCAGGAAGGGATAGCTCCCCTCCACAAATTCCAGCTCTTGGGCACAGTGGGGGACCCTCAACTCTTCTTAGCTCCCTCTGATGCTTCCATCGCTGTGACATTCCAGGCCTAGAACCCTCAGCCTGGGATGCCCAGGCCAAAAATCCTATGGCTACTCGTTCAGGCAAACACTGCTACAGCTCTGTGTCCAGGGGGGCACACTGGAGATGGAGAAGTGGACAAGACATGGTCCCTGTCCTCAAGCACTGACAGCCCCCTCCCCACTCCGCCCCGCCTCCCAAGATAAACATACATTGGCATTGCTTTCCTTGATGAGTTCGGGCCCCAGGTTCCCTGCTCCGTGGGGTGCTGGCTCTCCCACCTCAATCTGCCACTGGCCCAAGGCTCCCAGGGCACTTTTTACACGCCATTTTCTTACTGGGGAGAGAAAGAAGCAGCAGGATTTCAGGAAAGAAAGGGGATCTGCTCTTTTCTGCTGAGTCATTGACATCACATTAGGTAAGTGGAACAGGATAAAAGTGGGAGCTACAGGCCCCTTTGCACTGACTTTGTCCATCTGAGCACAGCTCTGCAAGAAGCCAAGTGGAGATAAGAACCACCACCCCTCCCCCAGTAGTGGCTGCCAGCAAGGGGAAAATGTGAGAGTTAGGAAAAGGTAGCTACTGATACTGGGAAGATTTGGATCCCAAAGTGAGTGAGTTGACATGCATTTTTTCCCTCTGAAAATGTGCAAAGGAAAAATAAATTAAGAGGGTGAAAGCTGATAGGCAGACTTGTCTCATGATTCATAAAGTCCAAATGTAGAAATTCACTCATTTCAGGTATACCTGAACAAAATCAAGCACATACCATAGCTTAAATTCATTATTTATATAGGATCTAATGTTTTCTTGTGAGGACATTTTCTTTCTTCCTTTTATAATGCAAACAACTATCTCTATGTTACCTTGTGTTATAAGCCAGATGTTTGCATAAAGCTACCTGACAAGCCCTGCTGGGAAGGCTGCCAGGCCACACCGCCAGGACGGCAGTCACGGGGCAGCCAGTCACTGCAGGGCACCCTCTGGGCCGGTGACCCCTCTGCTCCTTCCCCATCCTGCCACACTGGGGGGACACTCCAGCTGGGCAGCCCTGAAGTCAGTCGCTCGAGGCCAGCAGCCTTCCTGACACTGCTGTGGGCAGCCAAACAACCCAAACAGGGCAGGGAGTCTGCGGCGGCTACTGCAGTGAGTCGCTCTGCTCTTCCTGGGCTGGGGGCTGGACGAGAGCTGCAGTCTGATTCCCCAAACGGGAGTGGTGCGTCTCCCTGAGACCTTTGGAGCAGCTGCGCCAAACCCCAACACCCTTGCTGCTCGAAGAGAGGCACGCAAGCTGAACACCAAAGTGTGCCGTAAAATTAGAATTTTCCCTTGAATGTGCGCTTTTACAAGGTCTGCTGCATTCTGCAGTGTGGTTTTATTACGTCTTAGGGCCAAAAATTCTCCCTAGAAACACATTTCCAAGTTTATAATGAAAATTAATATGGAAGAGTAAAACCTGGAAATATGCTTTATAGGCAACTTTTTTTTCCCCCACAAATACTTCTACTCTTTTAAGTGAATGGACTGTGACCAGGAGTATATCCAAATCTGTTCACGTAATACAGCACTTCGCTTAACTGGAACCCTAGCACCCCAGCCTTCTGGGGGCCTCTGTCACAGCCACAAACTCAGAAGTGACAAATGCCTCCAAGCAGCAGCTCATTGTGACAAGACCCCCGCACCTCACCCTGCACCGTGGGAAAGGCCACTCCTGGGTGCTCACCGGACAATGTACGTGAAATGCTACGTGTGCAGTACGGCAGGAAATTCATTGTTTTCCCAGGCACACTGGCAACGGCATGAGGGGACAGCTCACCTCAGAGGGCAGTGTGGGAACTACTAAGCACAGGGGACCATTTAGTGTGAGGGCAAGTACGCAGCCTCAGGGCCTGAAGGGATCGCTACATAATGAAATGCAGTCATCACAGAGCTTGAAGGTGGAGGTTCCCTCAGAAAGCCTCAGTGCAATGCCTGTGTTTTTAAATGAGAAACAGCATTTCCTCCCTTGCCACCACTCTGCAGGGGACAGAGGAATTATCAAGGCGCAGAAGTAAACTGACTTGCAAAGGCCACAGTTAAAATCAGGTCTCTTAACTCCAAGTCTAGCTTTTGAGTCATTAATAAAAGGCTAAATTATATTCTATAAATATTTGACAAGCATGTATGATATTTAGAAAGGTTTCTATGTTTTTAAGTAGCTCTACTTCTCTTTTTATATTTTAGCATTTAAAGGAAAAACTTTGATTATTTGAGAACACAATTTACGAGGCACACCTGCCTGCCCCGGGCTGGGCAGCGCGGTGCTCCTCCAACCTCGGGACTTAGGGAGCCCTGTGTCCTGCAGCTCGACCTAGTGCGGCTGCAAGTGGCAATTCTGACCCCAGGGTTTCCTGTCTTTTCTTTCACTCCAAGGAAATGTTGGGTTTTGCACCTAAGCCTTCCCAAGGAGCACAGGGAGGAGGAGGAAAATTAGTTATTTCTTTACTACTGACCTTAAAAGCTATTCAGGTTACAGGAACCTGGCACCTTTGGCTGTTTCAGCTCTTAAAACAAACAAACAAACAAACAAACAAAAACCTTGGGATTAAATTTTTGTTTGAATGCAGAAAAAAGTGTACCTACTCATTCCCTTATGAGATCTAGTAACTGGTGTTGGTGAAGTTCCTGTTGTTTTTTCCCATGGACGTGGCCATGAATGCACATGTGCAAATCCACATTCTGTGTTTCTCATCCTGTCTTTGTTCCTGAACTCAAGGACAGCTCCTGCGGCAACAGAAGACTGTTTCCACCTGCTGTCGCTCTGATTTGATTATATGTTAAACCCTAACTGGGTATGCAAGGCAGCTCCCTGGGACGCTGTGTATCTTCCTGGCAGAGCCAGGCCCAGTCCTTGGAAAGGAGACTTTCAATGACCCTATAAAGGGTCTGATGGCGAATATAGGAAGGAAGCAGCGCCTGGGGCTTTTTCCTGAGTCAGCAGGAAGCAGGCTGACATGCCAGGCTGCCAGGTGAAAGGAGGCCCCATCTTTCAGGTGGGCTGGTAAGTAGAGGTCCTAAAGGCCTCCTTCCCCAAAGCCCCAAGCCCTGGCCCACTTCCAAAGTGGATAATTACATTCCCCGTTCCTAAATACTCCCTGCAGCTTACATTGGACGCAGGATTCTTCTTTTCTGCCCTAAAACACTGCAACATTGCTATGTGGCTATTAAACAGCTGCCACGTCCCATCCCTGAGGAGGCTGAAGGGAATCGAGTGGGCCATTTATAAAGCTGGTGAAGTGCTTGGGGATGAAAGTGCTCCACATCCTCCAAATGCAGCCTGGGGTGGGTAGGCTGGCGGTCAAATACCAAAGCAGATTAGGCCGATAATCCAAATGTAATCGCTGGGGGATGGCCTGCTCTTCAGCCTCTGCCCCCTGGCCATGCTGTGTTCCACTGGGGCTGGTTTGATGTTCCGATCATTGTTACGGGGCCCTTCAGTTCCTTCTTCCATGAATACAGAGCGCCTTCCTTGTGGGGGGTGGGAATGAATAGCGCTGACAGGGTGGCGAAAAAAATATGACACTCCTGCACTTATTAACAGAGTGGAAGAACTCCGTCCCAGACAGATCCGCTATGGGCAATTCTTCCCCTGGAAATCACTGTCTGTTCTTCTATCAGAATACCAGTTTGGTCAATTATCAAATTTATATAATTAGCTTCAAAAAATGGAAATTATTCCCATTTACAGCCACAAAAACCCTGTCCATATTTTACTTCACAGGATGCACAAGTAAAAATCAGCTCTGGCCCTGGGAGTATTTATATTTAAATGTTTATAATGAACAGTATTTTGCCAGGGCAGCTGCTGGGGCTGTGTTGGGGGGTGATTTAGAAATGGGTAAGAGAAGGATCAGCTGCTCGGGGACCCTGTGGTGGTCTCTGCCCATCTCTGTCCTGCTGTCTCCAGCCCCTACTCAGGTCATTCTGAGGACAGCACCATTTAGGAAGGAGAAAATAAAGCAGGCCTAAATACTCTCGACTCCCACCAGTCTGCTGGGGTGGACTGGCGCACGGGCTCTTAATTGGACAGACAGACCTAGGTTTACGTCCCAGCAACGTGAGTCTCAAGAAGGTGCTTAACCTCTCGGAACTCCCTCTTCATTTTTTAACTGTAATACGGGGACAGCAGGACCTGCCTCACTGGGCTGCAATGAGGGTGATGACGAGATAATTCACCCAGAGCACTCAGTATGGTGCCCAAAAGAAGTTACGGTATTAACATCATTGCTAGGTAAATTTTAGATGAACAATGTTCTCCTATGAACGAACCTCCATTTCCGCTTTTAAGAAAAAGGAGATTTGCCAGTCCTTGCCGTTTGGCTAACTAAGATCAAGGGTGGAAACTGAGTTTGGAGGTCTCTATTTCCCACCTGCTGAGAGAAGTGACAGGTTAACGTGGGATGCTACAGATGAAGGAGTGTGGACTTTTTTCATTTTAATTCCATGTCCAAGCACAACAAAGAGGCCTGGGTTTTGTTTGGTTGCTAGTTTGTTTTTATAGACACAGCAGCTAAGGCTGTTTGATTTGCTCCGTGTGGAGGAGAGAGGTGGCGGCACTGGGGGCTGGGGGAGCGGAGCTGCAACTAGGCTCCACCGTGATGGCGGTGGTTAGCCCACGTGACCTCTGCTTTCATAAGCTCGCCCCTGTTAGGCATTCCAAGGCTGTCACCCCCTGGGAGCGCTATAAATTACAATGCATTGTGAGGATATTACTACTGTATTGGTTTCCACCAAATCAGTGTCATATGCTAAACACATCAAGATTTTTAATAGCACCAGACTAAACCAAGTGGGACTGGAGCCCAAGCAGCTCATAATAAGGAGGGATCAACACTTCACTCTGTGACTGAACATGCGCAGGACACGCACTTTAAGACTGGAGACTAAGAGAATGCAAACCAGTGTAATCTGTGTTGTCGGTTCTGGACATTTATGAGCTGTCGGAAAAAGGGAAAAAGAAATTCCCTCACCAATGCTACCTGTCGATCAGACCCAGGAAGAAATTAAAGTCAAGAATAATGACAAGAAAATAACCCAGTCCACGATTCCATCACTGGCCTTTGCATTTCAGGTAGAGCTTAATAAAGAGACTAACTCCCATTGCTGACAGCCTCAGGCCCTGGGTCAAAGAACCAGCCACCTAGCTCTGGGAAGTCAGTTAATGCTGATGTGCAGCCCTGGGAACAGAGAATGGACAAATCAAGTAATTCCCAGAAACCTGCGCTGGAGCCCCTATTCATGAGCCTATTAAGAGAGGGAAAGAGCTACAAGAATTCAAATGATGATGCCACAAAACCACCATTTCTAGCCTCTACTCCCTTTGATTCAAACAGTCTCCAAGATAAGGGTCAATACTTAGCGGTGCTGCCTCAGAGATAAGGTTTAGAGGCTGCTGCCTCTGACACCTGCTTGTTCCTAGTGTGGTTTCAAGAAGTAAGGCACAAAATAAACAAAACAAAATAAAAACTCCCCAAAAAACTACAACCCTGCAGTGAAAAGTCTGCTCTTACCACTATTCAGCCTACAAGCTCACTTTCAATTCTACCTTCTCAGTAAACCTTTTCCCAATGGACTCTCTCCAATCTCATTCCTACCGTAGCAAAATCACTCACTCACTCTCTCATTTGTTTGGGGGTGGGATGGGATTCAATGGTCAAACCAACTCCCACCCACCTCTGGCACCCAGCCCTGCCCTCAGATTATTCTCAGAAACAGCCCTGCCACAAAGGCCTCTGTTTGCCCCCGCCCCTTTCACCTCCTTTCACCTCCTTTCACCTCCCGTTTGGCACTGGGCTCCTCCCTCAAGCCTCAGGCGGGGAGTGTGCTTAGGTCACCCCAATGTTCCTAAGGGCCTGTGGGAGCCCGTCACTTACCGAGGAGTTCCTTCGTCTTCTCATCATATTCTTCAGCCATTTCCTTCCCGTCTGGGAACAAATAATGCACCTTCCTTCTCCCTGCGCACAAAGCAGAGTGCCTTAACCCTGAGCCTCTTCTTGCCTTGTACCTTACTGATCAAGGGGGTCTGCCCGTGCTGAGAAACCCTCCCACAGCCTCCCTCTGCTTGTCAACCACCGTCCACTATTACTTTAAGACATGTCCTGGGACTCTCTTCCCCTCTGAAGCTTTCGTTCAACATATCTTGCTCTGTTTCCTCTATCAGCAATAGCTCCATACTTCTTCCCATCTGTTGAACTCCTCCTTACCCTTCAAAACCCAGCTCAAATATCACTTCCACTAGGATGTCTTCCTAAACTATCATCCTCAGCTAGCCACCTTGGCAAAATTTACTTCCTTGTTTGTGCCTCTCTAACGCTTTATTCGGGGAGCATTTACCACATAGTATGATACTTTTAAAGGCACCTATCTCTTAGGGAATGGTATATTTGTCTTTCTCTTCCCGGTTCCTGAAACAGACTTCTGTTCTCAGGATATTAAACTGGGTTTCCCAACCAAGTACTCCCTCCACCCATGCCATTGTTCTGCCTTCTTCTGCACAGCTCCAGGCCACTCCTATCGCATAGCCACGCGATGCCAGTCCCCGTGTATTTTCTTCATGTACCTTGGTTATTATTTTACATTTGTGTGACTGATTACTGCCTGACTCTTCTACTAAACAGGAGGGGTTTTATCTCCCCTGCCTATGGTTTTTCTAACACCAAGTATAGTACCTGGCATACATTAGGAACTCAACTGAATTCTGATTGAGAATGAACATTGATTCATCTTTCACTGAAAGAATGAAAGAACCCAAGGGAACACCCTAGCCCATCTCTTCCATGGATGCAGTGTAATCATAAGCATTTTTGTAAAAGTGGCTATGCCATTTCCCTATTTTTAGGTAAGTAAGTGGATATAGGTAGGCTCCTTGGTGAGACTGATAACAGAGGACTAATGCCCAGTAGGCAGACCCACCATACATTTGATGAATATAAGCCCCAGGGCCCTTAACCAAGGGGTTAAGGGTGTCACTAATGAAACCCTGCAACTTTACCCCACTACCAAGCCTTTTTCCTGTTCAATTCACTCCCCTGGGACATTGTCTTCTAGAGTTGTTCCTAATATATCGGGAACTCACCCCCCCAAGTTTGCATGTCTCTCAGAAGTCCCCTAGGTCACAATATCCTTAATCATTTGGATAACTCAAAGAGCTAGAAGGGGTTTTTCTGTCATGAGTAGGGTACAGGTGTTGCCTGGGAGTAGGTAAGGGTGTCTGGCCTGACCCTCTTCTCCCCGAGTCCAGTCTTGAGTTCAGGCAGGAGGCAGTGCTTACTTAATCTTACTATTGGCATTGGCAATGTTTACTACTGGTACATTATATGTTTTATTGAATTTAATTCTCATAATAATCCTATGTTGTAGGGGACCGGTTTGTTTTGGTCTGGCAAATGTGACTGAGCTCTGTATGGAAAACCTACAGAAGCGAAGTGGTGGGCAGGAGCCAGATCTTCAAACTGAGTTTTCCCGTGGGAATCAGGCCTAGAAAATGCTTACAGACTGTTATGGCTTGCTCTTGCTAAAAATCCATCACCCTGGTCTAAAACAACGAATGTGTATTGTCTATCTTCAAGGTAATTTCCAGAGCCTATATGAGTTCTCCCAAGGACAGAGCTAATCGGCTCATCGCCATTCCCCTCTGCATGTTATTTTCATTTCCTTGATTGTACCTAAAATGTAGACAATATTATATGTAATAGATAATAAATCTTTCTCTGATATAAGACCCTAAGAAAATAATAAAAGCCTGTCTAGGCAAGGGTCAAGGCGCTCCCCCCTTGAGGGAGTGGCCGAGGCACCATAGGCCTCTCCCCTTGAGAGAGTAGTGATGCCGTTCCCTGTTTCTCCACAGGATTGTTGTTGCCTGTGCACTGATTCTTGCCATTGGCCACAACAGGCGGACTCTGCTGGACAGAGTCCGCCACACTATGTGCCCCCATTCCCAAATGAGGGAAATTGAGGCTTAAGGGTCATACAATTTGCCCAAGGTCACAAAGCCAGGACACGATGGGCCTAGTGTTAAACTCACTTGAGGCCCAAGCCCATGCTCTAATACCCGTACCAGCGAAATCTGCATGGCTGAGATATCTGTAAGGTTGATGCTGTCCCACGGATTTCCTGCTCCCATTTCTAGTGAATTACCTGTGTAGGCCTGAGCCTGTTCTGCTTGGGTTCTCATGTTTTTCTTACTAATCTGAGCTTTGGATTTATTAACCATGTGTCATATATATTGCAAATATTGTTTCAATATAAGTTTGACAAAAATATTGTCAAATATAAGTTCATTTAAAGTGAGTTTTCCCAAATATTTAATTTTTATACAACTGTTTTTCCTTTTGTGGTTTTTACCCAGAAGTTGTACTTAGAATATTCTCCCTTACCCAAAGCTTATATAATATTTACCTAGTTTACTCAAATACATATTTGTTATATAGGTATGTGCATATGTATGTGAATTTGAAAATTTTTAAGTATATTGGTATGATAGTTTGTTTAAAATATGTGTGAGTGTACATGCATAGAAAAAATAGTTTATGTATTAAAATGTAAATTATGGTTATCTCTGGATGGTAGGGCTATGGTTGGCTTATTTATTTTTCATATTTTCACAATGAACATAAATTATTTCAGGGAAAAATATAGTGTATTGGGTTCTCATTACTAATAGCAGTGATTCTTGGTGGGAAGTCTCCCCCCACACACACCCCAGGAGGGTGAATCTACAGGAGGGGGTTGACAAGGCGTACCCATGTATTTAACAATGGTTTGTTGTTGTTTTCTATCTGCTCTAGTACACAGCTTGGCACACAGTAAAGCCTCCCTAAATGCTGTGCTTATAAATGAGCAGATGATTTTAATTTCTAGGCTTCCCTGATTGGCCTCTGCCTGCAGTTGTGAATCTCTGGGGGTGAATGTAATTTCAACTCCTTCCCAGTTAAGTAGTTCCTAAAATTATTTTGGCCTTTGAAGGCAACCGCAAGGCTGATGCGGACCCCAGTGAAAATGAGTTTGACACCCCTGCCCTAGTAGGTATCCTAAAAACTACAGAAATTAAGACCTAATTCATTCTGGCAGCCAAGTGGGTCCAGGAAGGGACCCACTTTAAGTTTGGGGTGAGGGGCCGGCTACACCCAACAATCCTGGAGTGAAAGTCAGGATTCCATACCGCTGCGCCATCGCTCCCAGGCACAGCCCCGGGCCCTTGCTCTGTCTCCCCTAAAGACCCACGGAACATTTCAGAAGTTCACTTACAGACATTACAGCTGGAAAGGACTTCAGAGATAACAGGGAGACCACCCAGCTCGTTTTACAGATGAGGAAAGTGAGGTCCAAACAAGTACCGGGGCCGACGGGAGAGCCCGTGAATTAACTGCAAAGTCGTAAGTAGAACCCGAGGTCCCTCCACTTTCCATGGCACCAGGCTGCCTTCAGTAATGGAACCCCAAGACTGAGGTTCCTGGGATCCCGGGTCAAGATGCAGTTGTACCACTGACTGGTTGGGGCTCTAGGGCTGATCTAAAACCTTCTTGGATTAGTTTTTTCTTCTGTTAAATGTAGTAGAAAATTAACAGCCTTTTGGGACAGCGGTGAGCAAATGACATAATGAGTGTGAAAGGAATTATGTATTATTTATTAGTAACAGAACTCCGAGCGGAGCCAGGTGGTGTACAGGAAACTAGGGGGTGTCCAGAGATGCGTGTTCCAGTTATGTCATCTTTCTGGACCTCAGTTTCCTCATCTGCAAAAGCAAGACCTGGCTTGGGTGGGGGCCGCGACCCTTCCAGCTCTGCCAACCCAGGTTCTGAGGCCCTTTCCGGAGGCGCCAGCGCGGAGGGCCGGAGCCTTAGGGTAAAGATTAGGGAAACTCGCGGGGGACCTCGAGTTACCATCTTGCAGCAGGGCTGTCTTCTCGGCATTCCGCAGACTCTCCAACCACCCAGTCACCGCCATCATTCCTCCGCCCAGTTGTGCGCCCGGCCACTACCATGGCGACCGTCTCGCCTCGGGGGGGGGGGGTGTTACTTCCGGATGACCCGGAAATTGTGCTGGTAATTTTTTCTTCCCCTCCCCCCCACCCCGCCCCTTTCTCACTTCATCTGCTCTCATTGGCTACTCGGGTAAGTAAGTAGTAATTTACTCTTGCCCACCCTTCGGGTGGCCTGCAGGGCCAGAAGTTGATCCTACCCCAGTCCGAATCCTCAGGGCAGGGTCCGGACTCGCCATCACTGTTCTGGCTCCCCAGCTGGGAGTCGCGAGCACGCTCCAGCTGCGTGGCGCGGCGGATGCCCCACACCTGCCGGAGTCTTTTCTACCCCCAGCTGTGAGGCCAAGACTCCCCCAGTCCCGGAAGGCTCTGCACACCTGCTGTGGCGGTGCCTCGTCTTCCCGCAGCTGCGAGGCTGAGCGCTCCCATGCCGAGAGGCCTGCAACTAGGGCAGGTACAGGGTATTCCGCCTCTCTCCTTAACTTCCCACACCACCAGGTTTTCCTCTGAGGGTCTGTGATGGGGTAGAGAAAGATTATGTGGAGTTTGTGCAGATTCACCCAGTTGCTACGCCTCTTTGGAAACCAAGTCCTAACGAGTTAGCTCTATTTCCTAACTTGGCATCCCCTCTTGGTAAACCCCTTTGGAATGCAGCAGGGCAGACACCACACTGAATCTTTAGAGTAACCCTTCTGACCAATGATACTGTTTGGTACCCTTCAGAAGTTCCCCCACTAAGTCTGTTCTTCCCTTCATATCCCCCAATACTCTGTCTTTGAAATGCTGGTGAGTGTAGAGCAAAACTGAACCACTGAAGTTCAAGTGGGTTTTGGGGGGCCCCGGGGAGCTGTGCTACTGCCCCCAAGGCCTGGTTGGTAGAGAGCATACCACCATAGGGAAAGGGGTTGTCGAGCCTCAGTTCTGGGTTTCTTCATGACAGCGGCCCTGATCACCCCTCACAAGAAAGGCCAGGGTCTGGCCATACTTCCATGGACCCCAGGGGCATCTTGAAGGCATTTCCTAAGCGGAAGAAAATTCATGCAGATTCATCATCAAAAGCACTTGCAAAGATTCCCAAGAAGGAAGATGGTGAAGAAGCAAGAGGTGAGCAGGCCCAATCTCAGAACTTTCTTGTGCTCAGACCTTTAGATTTTCTACATTGTTCATGGCCGGAATCGGATATTAGAGCTGACCCTGCCCACCCAGGGCCTGCAGGTTGTGCTAGGCTTGGTCCCAGAGCTCTGACAGGCCACTTGCTGTGTTATCTTCTGCCCTAACCTGAGACCTCCATCAGTCAGAAAATACTCCCTGGTCCCTAAGGAAATGAATGACCAGCAGACTCCTTGGCTCTCCAGGAGGTTGCCAGCAATGGGGGGTGGGGGGAGCCCAGAAATCCATCTTAGGTTCCCAGAGTTATAAGATATTTTGTAGCCAAATTGACAAATAGATGACAGAAGCTTACATTGGGTGGGAAGGGAGAATCTGTTAGGCTGTGAGGCCTATAAATGTAAGACATGTGTGCCTTGAGCCTGGTGTACAGTAGGTATCTATTAATACTTGTTGAATGAATAAATGAACAAATTGATTTACAGGATGCCTACAGTGTGCCAGACACTGTTCTAGTTTACACCAGTGAACAGGACTTCCCCAAATCCTTGGCCCTCACATCGAGTGATGGCCAATGAGGAAATTAACTGTGTACTTGTGGTGGAGCCTCCAGAAGGTGGAGCCTGGATAGAAAGAAAGTGACTCGGAGTAGGGGACTCTAGTGGGATCGTCTGGACCATGTCTGAAAGTTATAACAGGAGGCATCTGGGTATCTCCTCCACAGAGTGGCTGAGCTCCCTACGGGCCCATGTGGTGCCCACAGGCATTGGGCGAGCCCGGGCAGAACTCTTCGAGAAGCAGATTGTCCAACATGGTGGCCAGATACACCCTGCCCAGGCCCCAGGGGTCACTCACATTGTGGTGGATGATGGCATGGACTGTGATCGAGTCTTGCGCCTCCTCAGACTGCCCCAGCTTCCCCCGGGTGCTCAGCTGGTAAAGTCAGCCTGGCTGAGCTTGTGCCTGCAGGAGAGAAGATTGGTGGACACAGCAGAATTCAGTATCTTCATCCCCAACAGGTGGGCTGGTCCCAGACTCTTCTCAAATGTTTTCTGATAGCATCTTGAACTCTTTCCTTGGGTTATTAAAAACAACTCTCATTGTCTTAATTGAGTACATTAGAAGGCCAAGGTTTCCAAGGAGAGAAGGACTGGGAGCAGAGATGGGGTAAGACCTTCCGTGTCTTATCTTCCCATCCCCATCCCTGTAGGTACCTGGCCCAACCACAGCTCAGTAAAGCAGACCAGGACTCTGCTACTCCTCCTGGAGCCTGTAAGGCTCCACTCAGGACAGCCTTCTCTCCTCCCCCTACTCCCGCTAGACCTGTATCTCCTCCCCAGAGAACAGAAGAAGCTCCAAGCACCCATGCCCAGGTAAGGAGCCTTTCAGCCCCTGCAGCTCCTTTCCATGAGAACCAGATCACAGAAACATGAAGGGCCTGGGCGTGCTAGGGCTGGGACCGAGGAAGTCAAATGGAGCACGGCCCCACACTTAAGGAGACCCAAGGCATCAGGAAACCCAGAAGACCCAACCTAATTCTTGGGTCTAACCAGGAGACTCAAGCCCCACCTTTCGGGAGCGTTCATGGATTTATTGTCTCTTTTTCTTCCTTACTTCAAGCCTGGCTCTGATGATGGAAGCAGTGACGGGGAAGAGACCCAGGTTAGCGCAGCTGATTTGGAAGCCCTGATTAGTGGCCGATACCCCATCCCCCCAGAGGGAGATGGGGAGCCCAGCCCAGCCCCTGAAGGCCTGGGTAAGTGGGTCTGCGCACAGCCTTCAAGCCAGAAGGCAACCAACCACAACGCCCACATCACAGAAAAGCTGGAAGTGCTGGCCAAAGCCTACAGTGTTCAGGGGGACAAGTGGAGGGCCCTGGGCTACGCCAAGGCCATCAATGCCCTCAAGAGCTTCCACAAGCCTGTTGCCTCCTACCAGGTACCCGGGGGCCAGGGCAGCAGAGGGGAGGTACCGGGGAGTGTGGGGGGTTGGGGTGCGGGGGGGGGGTCGGTAGGGGGGTGTGCAGAGGGGTTGGGTGTGGGTGTCTCCTACCAGGTACCTGGGGGCCAGGGCAGGGTGTGCAAGGGGTTGGGTATGGTCTCCTCTTTATTGGCTAGAGGCTGGTGGAGGCTCAGGTCAGAAGTGGGGATCAGGCAGAGTGGTTAAGAATTTATGATTCTGGGACTTGGACAAAAGGAAGAAATGGGGAGGTTGATGAAACAGATTGGCAAAATTTTGATAATTATAGAAGCTGGTTATAGTTGCTTGGGGGTTTGTTACACTGTTCTGTGTACTTTGGAATTTTTCCCATAACAAAGTTTTTAAAACGTTTAGACTCTGGAGGCCAGCAGACCAGGGTTTGAATTCTGGTTCCACCAGTCGCTAATTGTGTGACTTTAGGCAAATTACTTAAACCCTTTGAGTGTCAGGTTCCTCACTGGTAAAAAGGGACTAAGAATAGCACAGACTCGGTGTTCTGTGAGGGCGGAGCTGGGTGTGCTGTGCTGTGCATGACCTGCCATGCGGGGCGGCCTCCGTCAGTGTTGGCTCTCGCTGCTGTGACGACGATGGTGCCTGGGGTCCCTACTTCCTGTGCCCATGGACATCCCTCCAAACACCAAAAGACAAGCTACCCAGCCCATTCCACTCGGACATCCCGTCTTCAGCTGTGCCCAAGCTTTACACAGCCACCAGCTGCCAAGTGGCCAGGCTGGCTTTTCCTCAGACATCTGCTGAAGCAGTCGGCTCCCCTGCCCCTCGGGCTCCACCCCTCCCATCTTCTCACTCTTCTTTCCTGCCTCGTCCAACCCCTCCTCTAGGAGGCCTGCGGTATCCCCGGGATTGGGAGACGGATGGCCGAGAAGATCGTAGAGATCCTAGAGAGCGGACATCTGCGGAAGCTGGACCACATCAGCGACAGTGTGCCTATCTTGGAACTCTTCTCTAACATTTGGGGAGCTGGAACCAAGACTGCCCACACGTGGTACCATCAGGTCACACCTTGTCCCTTTCCCTGCTCAGTTTTGCTGTGTCCCAGAGCTCCTGACCTACAGTTCTTGTACCTTATGCTCTGATGGGAATGAACCCAGACTAGAGGGAGACCATTTTCCAAAGGGCCCATCCATAGACGCCTGCCCTGGCTCCAGAACTGCCCTGCAGCTGGGGTACTTGAGGCATTCATCTGTGGCAGAGGCAAGAAGCATGTTTCTCTGTCTCTCAGACCAGCAAGGGCCTTTGAAGAGACCATGCTCAGGGCCAAGTACCCAGAGCCCAGATGGAATCACGAGCCAGGGCTGAACTGGGGCTTGTCTTCCAGGACCCCTGCCTTTTCCAAGCTCCACTGATTACAGATGCAACTGCTCCGGGGGGTGGTTCTATCTCAGGTCTTCCTTGGAGTCTGGGGGTGACGGAAGCCTGGTGTGCATGCTCATTCACTGTCTCTTCCCTGGTCCTGGGTCCTCATGGTGCCTCCACTGGTTTCTTCCTCCAGGGTTTCCGGACCCTAGAAGACATCCGCAGCAAGGCCTCCCTAACTGCCCAGCAGGCCATTGGCCTGAAGCATTACGATGACTTTCTGGAGCGCATTCCCAGGGAGGAGGCCACAGAGATTGAGCAGACAGTAAGCAGGTGTCTCAGAGCAGGAGGAGAGCCAGGCCCTGCCATGAGGCTCGGGCCTGGCCTGGAGCCAAGAGCTCCGCCCTCAGCTGAAGAGCCGAGCAGGCGGAGGCAGCCATGGGCCACCAGAGGCTGGGACCAGAGAGCAAGGAACAAGTGGAGACCAGCTCTGAGCCCAGAGGAGGGGTGGGTGGCTGTGGTCGGGGAGGGCTGCAGAACCAGCTCCTTGGATTGGGGTTCTTAGTGGTCAGGCAGAGTGAGCGTCAGCTTACATGCTAGAATGGTGTTGGGACCGGTTTTTGTG